GCTCCCACCTCTGGTCCTTTCTGGAAGGATTCAGTCATGCTAAAGTTGAATGACTTGGAGAGGGTTACTCTTCTCCCCCGCCCTGCCATTTTATTTGAATTGGCTTGAAGGTGAGAAATAGAGCACACGCTGGGGCATGCATCTTGGCAGCTTCCACAAGCAAAGCTTGCCACACGCAGTCCAGGAAATAAAAATCTGGTTGTTAAATTAGCCAAAAGGGAGTACAAAAGAGTCATTTGTCAAGTTATTATTTTGCACAATAATTAAAAAAAATTAAACTGCAACTGTTTTCTAATCCATCTTGCACAAAGTAATCATAGAAATACAGGACTGGGGGAGGGAGAAGCCATTGCGGGCAGTGTCTTGTGGTTGCTGGTGATCAGTTACACAAGGTTTTCACAAATCTTTACTTCAGCCTGCCCCCTCCCCAAACTAGTACAAGGCACAACACCAGGAAACTTTCTTTCATCGCCTCCTCCCTCCGCCACAGTTTGCAGGCACAGGAACAGAGTAGAGAGCTGGGCAGTGTGTGTCATGGAGTGCAAGGCATTCTGGGAATCATAGTGCTCTAGCCTGACAGAAGACTTTTACTCCATGTTCTTGTAGCTGAAGCCCATGCCTACAAGGGAAAAAAGATGCTGAATCTGGTGACAAAAAATAAGTCAGTTTTCCCCTCAGCAGCAGCAAATGCCACTGCTGCTCTAAAACACTACCATTCCCAGAATGCCTTGTGCTCTGTGACGCACACTGCCTGCACCAGCAGTTTCCTAGAGTGGGAAAGTGCTAACAGAGTGGTGCAAGGCAGCAGGAAGGTGCCACCCGGGGCATGTGCCCTGCTCAGTCCCTCCATATTATACTACTGATTAGGATCACGCTACCACAGAGGTGTTCAACCTCTGACCCGTGGGCCAAATCAGCCCGTGGAGCCTTGGAATCTGGCCTGTGGGGCTTCTGAAGGTCAGGAAATTTGTTGGCGGGGGAGCAGTGGCAGTTGATACCACCAGTCCTTCCCACTGCTAAAATCCCAAGCCCTGTGCGGTGTGTCAATGCAGGCTAAAACACTGCAACAGAACTGTTGTCAGAATCACTGAAAGTAAACTGTTGCCCAAAACTGCATTTGTTAGGTTAACCAGGGTATGCACATGGGAAGGTAGTTAGTACCTTTACTGTATTTACTTGAATTGAAGACAACCCTGATTATAAGATGACCCTCCCAATAATTAGTTTCTAGACACAGAAGAATTATAAATGTTATTGTTTTCCAGGTATACAGAATCTGCCTTCATGAGCGCCATTTGCCCGCCCATCAGCAGGCAGCATGTTTCTGTCTGACTGAGGCCTTGGTCTTTTCCTACGTTTTCTCTCCTTTCAGCTCTGGGTCAAAGACCACCCCGAGGATCTGTATTCCCTTGCTGGGGACAGAGACCCCCAGGGTAGAAAGGTCACTGAGATTGCCCAATGTCAGACTTGTGCTCTTGTTCACATTGAGCTTGGCCTCTGCTGCCACTCTGTATGCCTGGGCATGTTGTAGTACTCTTTCCACTGACCGCTTGTCCCTGCATAGGATGTTGAGGTAGTCCCCTCTCCTACTGATACTACAATGCATCCTGTAGTTGCAGCAGGGCTCCATGGATCTGCTGCCCCAGCACTGCACACAACTGAATCCTCGTGGATCACCACACTTATAATAGACTTAAGGTGCTTGGCCAAGACTTTGGCCATCAGTTTATAGTCAAAGTTCAGGAGCATTATGGGTCTCCAGTTCTTCAAGTCTTAACTTGCGCCCTTCTTACAAAGAAGGGTTAAGAAATCCTGATCCAACCCAGCCCCCAGGTAGTCTTCCTAAAGCTGCTCCCTTTACACCTCCAGCAGGTCTGGACCAACCTAGTCCAAGAAGATGACATAGAACTTCTTGGGCAGGCCGTTGGCCTCAGAAGTTTTACTATTCTTGAAGCTGTGGAGATCCTTGGTGATCTCCTCCAGCATCCACTTCTTCACCAGCTTCCAATGAGCCCCTGGAGGCAGTCCTGCATGGCCCCCAGGTCCTCTGGGCATGTGTAGAGCTCCCAGTAGAAGGTCATTGCCATCTCCAGCATCCCTTTGTTCAACTGACGCTCCACTCCTACTCCATCTACCAACGTGGCCAGGGCCTCTGTTTTGGGCTTCTTTAACCTATTAAATTAAGTAGATTACTCCTCCTCCACCTCCACTTAGTGGGCCTGGGCCAGGAAAATCTTCCTGGCCTGTTCCCTGTACTAAACACCAATCTGAGCTTTCACCTCCTCATGTCCCAACCCCAAGCCACCTGCTTGTGCAGGCTCTGCGACTTGTGATTTAGGTGCTCATGTTGTCTTCTCTGAATCTAGACTTGCCTCCTGCGAGCCTGCTGGAAGAAGTCTCTTGCACTCTCTTTTACATTGGCCCACCACTCCAGCTGGTTCCAGTACCCAGCTTGGAGGGGCTCCACCCTGCAGTGCACTGCCTGAACTCCCACTGGGTCTGTCATCTATGAAGCTCACGTTCAGTTTTCATATGTTTCTGCCTCTTTCAAGCTGACCCTTCATTTTTGCCTTCACAGTTAGGAGGCAGTGGTCTGAGAAGCAGACAGGCATGGATTCAGCTTTCACTACTGTACACCCCTTGGGGAGGAGGATGAAATCTGTGCATGACTTTGTCTGCACATGCGGTACACTCAGGTGAAGTTTTCCTGGGTCCTTGGGCTCCCTTGCCCACATCCACCAAGCTGTAGTCACAGACCAATTATTTCAGCAGCCTGGAGGATCTGTCCTGGCCCATCTTTTGGCCTCTGCTTATTCTGTCTCCCTTGTCAATGACAGAGGTGAAATCTGCCATTACTGCCAGCTGAATACTGGGCATTGCCACAGTCATGTTCTCTAGGAAGGCACACCCAGCTTTTTCTTTGTTGACTGAGGCATAAACATTTAGGTCAAATATCCCTCCTCCTGTTTTAAAGGTGGCTTGTAACAGCCTGCCTGAAATAAACTCCCTGTGCTGTAGAGGTCTCACTTTGT